TAAATCACAACTCTGACACCTGCAGGTCAGAGTGTCATTGGTCTGCCTCAACTTGTCTGTCTCCAGCACCAGATGAATAACATCTCTCTGTTGTGTTGATCACGGTACAGCTAAGTTCATTAAAAGGCAAAAACTCCTCTTTTCTTGTCATTTATACTTTTTCTAACTTGTTTAAACTCATCTCTAAGGGAGACAAAGGTGAATATGGCAGGATATGGATCAGCTTTCTTTTAGCATCATCTCTGTTCTTCTTTCATTTTAGACTATAAAGTTTGTGGAAAGCAACATTATTCCATTGGAAAGATAAATACTCTCAATAAAAATAGTATCTTTTGTTCAGCTGGGTAATACAAAAAGAAAATTTAAGCTGCCTGTCAGCTGTATAAGCTTTTCATAGATCAGAAATAGAAAGTAAAACCTTTAAAGCTAAATATAAGTTCAGCTCCATTACTTGCAGCTTACAAATAATCAGGCCATTTCTGAAAGGAAAATCTGTGTGGTGCCTGTGGAGCAGAGGAATTGTGAGGGATGTATTTGGGGAGAGAAAAAGGAGACAGGTGATGGTAATATGGAGGGGATCTCTCCCTTCCTTAATGCTGGCTTGACCATCTCCCAGGAAACTGTCTCAAAACATTGCCTGGGGCAAAAGCCAGGAAATACTCCTGCCTTCAGGTGAGTGTATTGTGCACCAGGACATAACCTTTGGGGGATGCAGAAAAGAGAAAACTTTCTAAAATTGTTGAAGGAAAAAAAAAAAAGCTTTAAAATTGTGGCCAACGATACTGAGCTTTTCAATCAAAGTACTTCTAAATCAAAGTACCAGTGTTTCACTGAACTCCTTATTTACAGCTTGATATAACCTGCTTTCTGTCAACTTGCTTCACCCAGGTTCATGTGTAGCACTTAATGGGTCTGGAGTGTTGCAGGAAAATAACATTTCTGCAGCATCTTTGTGTTTGATTTTTTCAGCCTCCTGTCTTCACAGCAGTCTCATTCTCTAATTTTATTGTAATCTAGACTTGGAATGTTATGAAAGACTTCGATGTTATATCATCCTCTGGTTGAAAAATGTGTGATTTGCATGGCACTACTACTCTTTTCTATGAATTATCCTCAGCTTCCTAAACTAGTAATTGCAGGGGGGTTTCCTCTGTTCCTAAAATTACTTTACAACTTTTCATTTTCTTAACCCCTATACTCACGTGGGAGATTATTTTATTACCTGTCTGTTCACATGTCAGCAGAGGTTTGGGAAGGAAACCCCCCAACAAACCTCAAATCTCTTCTCCTTCTCCTTATTATTGGAGTAAATATTACATTTTTGCCTTTATAATTCTTCTTTCCTCCCTTAAAATCATTTGATTTGGTTAGTAGCAGACCCCATTGCCTGGAGTCTTTAACATGTTGATAATTTAAAATATGGTTAAATGAAATTATTGGGGCAAAATGATAAATCACAACAGCCTCCCTTAACTTTAGAAATCTAAAATGCCCCTTCTGACTCTTAAGACTTATATGTGATTTAAGTGATTCCCTCATTTACTGGATTCTTCATCCTGGTACAGTGTTGTTCACTATTTCTTTTAGTACTTTTCCAGCATGTTTAAATCATATGATAACTCTTGGACTCTGAAAGAGCACCGAAAAAAGCAATTTGAATCTCAAAAGTGAACCATGTAATCATGCCAAATATGCAGAATACAGAGCTAAACCCGAAGCATCCTGAGAGGAAGCTTGGCTGTGCCAGGTGTCCCTGGGTCACTGCAGAGGTGACACAGAGGGGACACAGGTCTGCTCCGTGTAGCCGGAGCGTGTCGGCTGCTGGAAAAAGGAGGTGCTATTTAAAGATTTGTAGAAAAATATTTGCTCTAACCAGTGTCCAAACCACAAAGGGTTGAACTTTCTGAATGGCATGGAAATATATTTGGAAGTACATCCTGCCTTGCCCCTGCCCAGCTCATGCCCTTTGTGTGTGGAAGCCTCGCAGGAGGCCCTGGGCACTGCAGCCTTGCAGGGCACTGCAGGCTCTGCCCTCACCCTCTGAGAGGCTCCAGCCCTCACAGCCCCAGCACAGAATCTTTATTCTTTACATTTTTCAGTCTTCTGACATGAAACTGTGCTAAACACCCATTTTGGCAACACTGGATCCCATGGGACCCCAAAGGGAACGTAATATCAGTAAACTAAGTTAAAATCACATCTGAAACAACAGAGGAAGTGCTGAGCAGTACTGAGCTCATTAATCCTCAGGCCCAGACAGGGGACTGTTGGGATGCTGTGAGAAAAAAGGGGAAGCTCTGGAGAAAGGAGTTGCTGTGGTAAACAAGCTTGGTAAAGGTCTGGTTTCATTTTGTATGCTTCGGTTACAACATGCAGCAAAACACTTGCTGTCCCTGAGGTGGAATTCTCCTTGCCTGTGGCTCTCTCAGTGTAGAAATTTCCACTTTCAAAAACTTGCTTCTTTGCTCCTGCACCCTTGGACAGAGTGCTTTCCGTGGTGGCACCATGATTTTAATGCAGCAAAGTACAGCTGCTATTCAAAATACATTGGTTCAGCTACAGAAAGAAATCCCAGCATCCCAAATCCAGTGCAGTCAATAAGGAGCTGTGTAAAGATTCGTGTCAGAAGCAAAACAAGGAAGAAAAGATACCAGAGGAAACTGATGGCCATTCAGACTTGTGAAGCAAAAAAAAAAAAAAAGGCAAGCAATCACGTTTTTCATTCTTGAAAGAGTGTCAGTCTTGATTCTTGTTAAGGTAGAAGGGTCTGTGTCTCTCACTCCTGTGCACCTGGGTTGTAGCATCTTACATGTTCTAATTTTCAGCTCTCTAACCAGACTTGGCACTGGCAAGACTTCCCCTTGGTTGCTTCCTGACTTCTTGACTGTTTTAGATGAAACATTTCACATTACTCCTGTATTTATCCATGGAGAAATGCCATTGAAAGAAAAGTTTTTCAAATAAGAAAAGCTCTAATGACTATAAATTAATTAAAGCCTAGTATTTCCATGAGGATTAAGTAGGCCTACTTAGTCTCTTTCCATAGGCTGTGCCTTTGTCTGCTGTAATCAAGCAGTTTGCTAATCACTGATCTTGGAGTGATACATTTATCTGTCTTGCATTCCCCTTGCACCTTCTGCCCAATTACTTCTCTAACCCCAAAATTATCTTGACTCAAAGGTAATTCTTCAACAGGTTTACTCACACAGTCCAATGTAACTTGGCATTCTGAAAGGCCCTGTTCTGATTTTATGTTAATTCAACAAAAGGAAAGGGCAAAGCAAAGTGTTGCAACAAACTGAAAAAATTAATCTGGTGTGTTTATAACCTCATTCTTGGTTCTCATGCAGGTTTCTCAACTTCTGCTTTCCATTTATAGCATACCAGGCAATAATATAAAATTTTTGTAATCTTAGTAGCCTAGTGAGGCCACAAAACATGAAAAAGGAGAACTACCTTAGTGCAGGTTATTCCTGCTCTTTGAACCTCACTGAGTTCACCCCTTTTTGAAGTTCTGGCTCTCGATTCTGATGTTTTGTGCAGTATTTTTCTGGTGGTTTTCAGAAGTATTCATTCCCAAGCTGTTCAGAGGAAAAACCTTATAAAGGGGTAAGAAGAATGAGGTTTAGTTTATAAAAAAGCAGCATGTGGTAGTGGGTGACTAGGTCTGCTCTGCCTTCTCCCATCACAGCTGCAGTGTTAGTTGTTTTACTCCATGTTGCAGGTGAGCTTCATGGTACAGCACTGTGTTTGCACACCTCAGGAAAGTAGACAAGTGCAACCAGGGATGGCAGTGGAATTCAGCTGAAGGCAGATTATCTGAGGGCCATTTGTTAGATGTTCTTCATTGCAAAACATGGTGCTTGACGCCAAGCGGAAACTTTTCATGGTTGTGGTGTGTGGATACCTATTTTAACAGGATATGGTCTGGAAATTTTGCTGGTTGTTTCATGCTGGCATCTCAGTATTACAGTGGAGTAAATCACTTGGATTGCCAGCCCAGCTGGCATTCACATCAGTGTAAACACTGAAGAGCCAATATTTGGATTTGAAACAGTCTGATAAAGATGAATAACCAACATGTAGTGTTATTCTACACCTGTGGAATATCCAGAAGGAATGTTTGAACTTCTTTAAAACCTGCTGCAGTAACTGGAAGCAAATAGAAGGGATTTAAAATGTGGAGTTAAAAATAAGCTTTATCAAGAAATGTAGCTGCAGCAGCCTAAGCAGCTCTCACATACAGGGTGATTGGAGCAGGGAGCTTAGGTCAGTCAGATTTGTCTGGATATTGTATGACACTCTACTTGGAAGGCTATAACAACTCCCAGCTCAGGAGTAGGCTTGTGCATGAGTTCTGGGTGGGAAAGAGAATTGATTAAAAAATAAATGTGATAGATTCCAAAATGTCAGTGCCATGTGTCCAGAAATGAACTCCCAAGGTGACCATGCCATTCTGTATCTAATCAACCATATTGTTTGGGAAAGAATTGTAGAAAATAAATGTTTTCTCTTTCACTGTTCCTTCTTTTGCCGTGAGGATGTCTCCTCTCCTAGTGCCACCTCCAGGGCTTAGGAACTGAGTGTAGCATCCCAGCCAGAAGCTGCTTCCCCTGAGATGAAATTGTCCTGACAGTAAAGAATGGGCTGCTTCTTCCACCACCTTCTCTGCAGTCTCCTAATTTCCCCAACACCTGCTGAATCTGTGCTTGCATCATTTATACCCCGATAAGATACAGGAGTTGCCATTTATTCAATACTTGGCACTTTTGATCCAGGTGGTCAGACTGCAGCATCCCAGTGCCCTGACTGCAGTGAAAGATGGGTGACTCTCACTGCAAGCTGTGGCTGGGTCTGTAACTTTAAGGGTCTCAGGGTTATAACTCAGGGCAGGTCTAAGCAATACCAGTTCCCCACAGAAAGCCACAGTGCAGTAGCTGTGGTTTGGATTGGCAGAAGCTGTGATTTTGTCAGAGCTAACGGTTTGGAACTTGATTTCAGCCAGCAAGAGACAAACCATGGACTTTGTGCCTGAGACTGGCTACCTTGATTTACTGCACAGTGACATCGACCCGTTGCAACTGTGTGCTCTCCTTGATCCTAAGTCATCTGGAGATGGAGAAGGTGACTTCACTACAGGTTAGTAAAACACTAAAAAATGCTTGGTTAGTTTAGTGCTCGTGCTGTGAGTTATTGCCATCTCCTCTCAGACATAAAGCCATCTAATGGCACTTTATCTTAGTGACAGGGCTAAATTCTACAGGCACTTGGTGTTATGATGTGGTAACTTGGTCTGCATCTGTATATACAATAGTGACTGCTTCCAGAAACTGTTGTGTTTTTAAACTGTACAGCAGTTTTAAACTGAGCAGCATCCTGCTCAGTCAGTCTAAAAAAACATACTGTACTGGAAACACCTCTGTGATTGATTATTTCCCAGACTGAGCTGTTCTCTTTCAACTTGACTGTTAATAACAGCTGCAGGAGTGTTTCTTCACCCCATGGCCTCACTTGCTCAGTGACTGAAAGCAGGATGAATTAGGGATCAAGGACTGTGTTATCAGAGTTGTTTCATTATTTGAATAACCTCAGCAGTGTCTGAGGTGATGTAGGTAAATCAAACATCATCAGGACACTACACCAGGTAATGGAAGCTGAAATCTCTGCTGGGAGGGTCTTAGCACAGTCCCAGGCATGGATTTGACCTTGGCCAACCAGAAGCTTCACAAGCAATTTGTGGTACCTGGACACAGCATTGTTCTGAACAGGGAATTTTGATGGCACCACCATATCCTGCAGCAGAAGGTTTAATAGTGTCCATGAGTCTGGGCTTTAATGCCATAGAATGGATTTAGGTACTATTTTATTTACTAGGAGAGATGAGGTCTCAGAGTTTATCAAAAGAAAAGTGCTGATTTCCAGATGACTATGAATTACTGAGAGTTCAGTTCTGTTCCTCCTTAGCCAACTTACAATGCAGAGCCAAAACCTTATGCTGAAGCAACATATCTGCCTGTTCTGCATGTCATGGTATCTGGGTTTTTTTCTCCTTAGTTATGGTATTCATTAAGCCAATGCATATTCTTCTTTAGATCTTGAAGTTGATGCCAGCAACTATGAACAGTTAAATAATATGGATTTCATGAGTACGATGGAAAATGGTGAAAATGGAGATGGGTCGTATCTCTGTTCCAACACCACAGATGCTTATGCTAAAATGGGTATGAAAGTAATTTTTGGGTGTTAAATCGTTATTTTACAATCATTTGCTGTAGCTGTTCCTTACAAATTCTATTTTCACTCTGAAACAGTGGCACATACTCAAGTGGTCTGTCCCTCATGCATGGTAGATCTAACCAGAGTACCTAAACCTGTGCATTATGGGGAAACACATGAACAGTAGCTTGTGGCTGTTGGGGGAAAATCTCTCTATTAATGTCATCTTCTGCTTAATACTTCCTGTCTCAACTTCTCCTTTCTTGTGATCTTTATTTCCTGAACAACAATTTACAAGAAAAACTTAATTTAACTCTTCAATTTTACTTAAACTGCAGATTTCTGTTAATAAGGGTAAGCTTACAAGAGTTTTGCAGAGAAATTTACAATGCCATTGCTGTGTTCCTCTGTTTTTCTTTCCTGTGTTGCCAGCTGAATTAGTAGAATATGTGCTCAAGGATCATCAGGAGAAGCAGGTGGAAGACATTTTTGGTAAGATTTACATGACAAAGACTAATTTTCTCCATGACAGTGTTCTGGCTAACATGTGCTTCATGCCCTCAGTTCAAACACTAGTAAAGTTTTATATATATGGTGCCTTCTTTCCACTTGTGAACATGTCCCAGGATTTTCTTGAAAAATCAAGAATTTTCTGTATTTTTGAAGGCTTTTCTCAAAGATGGCAGATTTATCTCTGATCAAGTTGCTGATGACATCACTATGGCTGTAACACACTCACAGTTTAACTGCCCAGCGCTGTAAATGCCCTCAAGTAGCATCACAAATACTCTGAGCACAACAGGGATGATATACATGAGTTGTCAGAAGACTTAACATGTGTATAAATGCAGCTCACACATACTTATTTCCATCCAAGATGCACACAGCTGCCTGAGGAAGCACGTCAAGTTTTACTTCTCACCCAGATCAATGCAACAATGCTACAATATACATATAACAAATTATTCCTTCATTCAGTGCTTGACCAGAGATACTTGCTTGGCTTCTGGGACAAAATCATTGCTTAGGTAGTAGCAAAAATGCAGCTGTTTACTACTTCAGAATCTGTATATTAATGTGTGGCTGCTGAGAAATCCATAGAATCAGAAAGATTCACACAATATCTGTACATCCTCTTCTGTGCTTGAGCAAAATAATTTGAACTAATTTACCAAAGGTCAGTCCTTCCCTAGAATAATTCTGGCTACAGTAAGCTCACATGACTTTTCAAATGATTTATACTGCTCCCTGGTGTGTCTAGAATTTCAGGGGGTTTGCACCTAATAACAATATTTATATTGGTTTTAGAAAAAAAACCCAAGATGCAGTATTAATACTTAAGTATTTGCCAGTAAAAGAATGGTATGGATAACTTGACAGTTCTTTAAACACAAAGAATGAAATCATTTCAGAACCCTTTACTCTGTCTCTTAAAGGATCTAATCCCTTTTGTACATAAATTGAGTAATTTTACCTGTACTGAGATCCCATATGACACGGCTGTGATGTTTTATCCTTTGCTCATCACTAGAGCATTGAGTAGTATTTATGTTTTATTAACCACTGAATTTATGGCAGAAGATTAATAGTTTGCAGTTCAGAAGCTAACACATGGCAAGAAAATCTGCATTCAGAGTTCTGTGGGCTTTCTAAACTATACGGATCTGGATACATGTTTTATTGCATAATTTGATTTTTAGCTTTCATTTGGAGCCTATTCCATCTTTGCTGCCTGTTGGTGTCTTTCTCTAGCTTTTATTTCTTTCTGTAATTTTTCTAGGAGAAAAAAGGTTGACATTTGGCCATATTTCATATTTTTAGCAGGGAACCTCAATTTGGATGAAATGGCTGCTGAAAACATTGAGAAATTTCCTGACATAAAGAAGCAGAAGTGTCATAAACGAAGTAAGTGAAGAACATTAAGAATCTGGAAGGCTGTAGTGTTTGAATTCTAAACTTTCATGGTTTTAGCACAGCCCCAATGCACTTCTCATGCAGTTCTTCACTCATTCAACCAGATGTGTTTCCTCTGCCCCTGCTTGTGCTGCGTGGGCAGGAACTGAAAACAGCTCTTCCAAGCACAGGATTTACAATTCACAGAATTTGTTGCCCTGTAACATGACATTAAGCATGATCTATTTCTTCACATTTTTATCATCCATGTGACAGTGTTAACTTCTTTTTCACTGTATCTATAGCTTAGCAAGTATTGGCTGAACAACTCCCTCTTTAACAGCAAGGACAACAGCAAAAATCTTTGAATGGCACAAAAATCTGCAGCCTAATTAAAACTTCACAGTCAGACTGAAATAATAATATGAGGCTTTTCACATTGGTGTTTATGCACTGGAGCTGCACAGTTCTGAAATAGCTGAGTTGAAACTCATAACACCCCCTTCTACTTTAAAAGGTTAAAATAAATTTCCGTGGGGTAAACTTAAAATTACCAAACTGGTTCAATTTTTGTCACTTATTCTCACCTTTCTTTCTTTCAGCCTTCCTAGGCTCTGCAGAGAACTGGTCTGATACTTCAGAACCAAAATACAGAAAAATTGGTAAGTCATTGACTGAATAGGGAAGGTTATGGAGCATGTATTTTCTCATGTTCCAAAGTCTCATCCTCTGCTAGGTATTGGAGCTCTGCCTTCTAGGAAAAGTTTGCTCTCATAGATTTGGTGATTTTGACCATCATGCATTTTCATGTTTCTGCAAAAATCACACTTTTGTACTCCTCTGATTATTTATGATATAACAAATCCACATCCTCTTATCAGCAACTATTAACTCGTGCAACTTAGAACCAACTACACAGTAACTTAGGAACAGTTGGATCCTTATGCTTCAAAAGCACATGTTCCTGCCAGGGGATAGGAAAATCACTTTCTTAACATCAGCACAGTTGAGCTTTTCTAAATCCACCTGAGAGAAGAAAGCAAAACAGCAGAGAACTGTCTTGGTGCCAAATTTTGTAATTTTTATCACGTACACTTTTTGTTTCTGGTGGGTAATATGACTCAGGTCATAGTTTGGCCTTTTCTGGGCTTGATCCTCTTTGTTCTGTGTGACGTCTTCCAAAACTCTGGGGAAACATCCTAGTGAAAATAATAACGGTGAAGAGATGATTTCTTGGCCCAGTCCATGCTATAAAGTCCTTTAACAAAAACAAGAAAGGGAGAAGGGGAAATTTCTAGGCTTTGCACATTTTTAGACCATCTACAAGACAATGCCTGGGGCCAGCAGTCAGGCTGGAACTTGCTCCCTATGTGTCAACTGGTGCTAATCTTCTTACCCAACTGCAGCCTAAATGGGTGTCCCAGACACAGCTAAAACAGCAAAATAGTCTTCCAACATCCATGTGAGAGCAACCAGTCTGGGGTGAATATTTTATACTGTGTTTTCAATTGACATTTGAGTCATTGTATGTCAGCACACCTCACGGGCCTCCTAAGGGGAACTCTGACTGCACCAAACCCCGGGGGCCATGTACATGTCAGGAAGGGCAGCCAAATCAGAGTGTAACCTAGAGATCCATCCAGAGAGTTCTGGGATCATGGGGCTGCACCCTCAGCACAATCCAGGCCAGCAGCTGGCAAGGAACTTGCACAGGCTGGATAAAGGTCACAGAGAACAAACATGTGCACTGGGGCTGTGATCCAAGCTGATTTTCCAGTGTTCATGTGGAGTTCTGAGGGAGTGGGGAGGGAGGGTAGAACAGAATTAGCTGTAGAAAAAATACATTTGCTAGTTCTGGAGAGGTAATTGGAGTTTCTTCTGAATGGGTACCTGATGATTGTAGTTATTTAGGCACAAGTGAAGGTCCTGGCAGCTGGTACCCATTAAAGGTGGGTTATCTTCTATCTGCTTAAGTTCCCTTAGAGATTAGGCACTTTTAAAAGCCTGTGTTTATGCCACAGTAACAACAAGAGTTTTCAATAAGGAAATGGCACATCAGTTCCAAATGTCCCACCCTACAGACCTTGCATTCCAGCATCATCACAGAGCTAACAAGTGCTCTGTAAAGCTGCACCTATCCTTTTTCTGGAAATCTTCAGAATACTGTCAGTCTCTCTACCTTCCTTGATCCAATAAAGGTGCTGAGGAAGGAGATATACATAAGACACTATAAGTACTGGGTACAAAAAAATCTAATGGACAAAAAGATGGGCTACTTGACAAAATCAGGAATTTATTTACCCTGTCATGAATATCACAGAATGATCCTGCAAAGGTAAGTGTATCACCTCTTCAGAAGGGTAGGACTACCTACAGTAAAGAGGATAATGTGTGCCAAAGTTCAGAGTGGCAAGTAAAGGATGAGATTCTTTCAAAGGAATTGGATGAAAGTAAAGTTTTTTTGCCCAGCTGTTTTGATAGCTGTAGCAGTACCTGTTCTCATCTGACCATAGCAATGCAACAGTCTCTGGAGAGAAAATTACAGGGGAATTTATCCCACTGATTTAAGCATGAGCTGAAAAACACTTTTTAAAATCTGGGTTTATACCTCAGTAGAAATGAAAGATTCTTTAACAAAATAATACATCAGTTCCTGATAGGCAACATTAACACATCCCACCCTAAAAGATTTCCATTGCAGACACAATGCAATTTATAGTGCCACAAAACCCACTCAGGTCTGTAGCTCTAGATGAAAACATCAGACCACAGAAAGTGATGAAATATAGACTTACTTTTTGCTGCTAGACAGGAGAGGGAAGGAAAAAGCAAAAAAAAAACCTCTGAGAATAAGGATGTGGCAAACCCAAGGAAACTAGCAGAATAATTCAAATTAACAAATGTGTCTTACTTGATTTGTAAGAAACTTTCCATAAGCAGATGAAATTGTACAATGCACAAGTCTCTCTCCCCATTTGTCCCATTCTTGGAAGAAAAAAGAGTGCTGTGGGCAAGATGCATCTTTTAAAATTCAGGTGTTTGTGACTGCTTTGGGAAACACTCTTAGAGCTGTCCTTACAAGCACTGTAGTGTCTCAGTAGAGTCAAGGTCCTCAGTTTACTGCACTTGGACCTCTCTGCTCTTGTGCAATATTGAGATAACAAAGTGTGCTCGATTATCACAGCTAATGTCAGACCTTGCTATGTCTAATCTGTCAGCTATCCATGTGTAGATACATCTGGAGATATCTAGAAATAAGACAGGCCAGGAAAGATGAAGAAAAAGAAAATTTAAAGGGTGAACTACTCGGAAGAAAATGTGATCCACTACAGAATTTCAGAAATACATTTTAGGCTTTGAGAGCTGGGTATATTCCAGAAAGCTATCGTGAATTGTTCTTACTGACTAGTGATTCATGTTATCTGTTGACATCTCTTCTCTGGTCCCCCTCAACGTTCTCCTTTCATTTTGCTTTTTTATTTTGAAGTGGAAGTGCCTGCAGTGGCTGCAGAGAATGGCAGTTTCTTAGCTCTGCCTTTCAACAGCCTGCCAGTGGGCTGCACCTCACTGACTAACCAGCACTTGTCCTTTTCTGTTCCTGCTGCCTACGGGTTGGAAAGAAGTTTCCTAATTCCTGGTATGTACACAAAGCTACAGGGATGCACCTGTACAGAGGTTCATTTATACAAGGGGAAACTCTCCTCTAAATCTTGACTGTGAACAATGGCAGGAAAACCAAGCATGGCAGCTGTCTCAACCAAACACTTAAATGTGTGGCACTCACTAAAAGAATGAAAACATTCAAGGGAATTAAAGGGCATTGCCCCGATGAAATGGAAGGAATCCTTCTTTTAATTGGTGAAGTGCAGGTTATAAGAGAACAGTTATTTACTTTATGCTAATCCAAGTAGTTCCCTACTTGTCTTAAGAATAGGAAGTCACAGAACTTCCATTAATAAACTTTGATTTAGTTCCAATTACTTTTTCACTGCGAAGTTTGTAAAGGACTGAGGGATAATTACATTTGCAGTAGTAGAGTAAAATCTAGGTTGTAATTGAGCTCATAAAAGCTAAGTAGTGATGGGCTGTGTAACCACCTGGCCTTGGTCATGCTGTGTAGCAGAGGGTGCTCATGGTACACTGTGAAATGCTAATGACCAGGACACAGTTCAACTCCTTTCACTGTTAAACCTATGCTGGAAAGGAACCAAAAGCAGTGTATAAGTTGGAAGTCTTGAAGTATCTGATGCTAGCTAAAGCAGCATAAAGCATCAGAGGAAATTCTGTCACACCTACAGAAACTCAGAGCTATGGGTGATTAAATTGCAAGCATTGAATCATCAGAAAAACTACCCAGTGTGGTCTGGGAGGGGGGATGCTGGCTGGCTGCTTGTACAACCTGTATGATGTTCACTTAGGTGGGATGTAGTGCAAAGGATGGTAAAATTAATGCAGATACTATTTTCACATCTTCTCTCTTCTGGATCTCTGTCTATATGTTGATAGACTTGGCCTTAAGCACTTTTCCTTATGTTAATAGGATTTCTTTTTAGACTGTTGAAAAACAGTGGTCACTAAATGCTGGGTAATCTCTTGTATTTCACTTTTAAGAGTGTTTTTTCTAATGGGTTCTATGGACCTCCTGTGATCCTACGAATTCTCCACAGAAAATATTTGCCTAGAAGCTGTATAAACAATAAGTAGCTTTCAGAAAGCTATTTCTCTCTTAGAAACCTTTAGAAACCAGAAGCTTTAAAACCAGAATAGTAATTATTCTCCATTCATTTCAGGATCTTCAGAACCTTGGACTGCAGAGATTCTACCTGTCAGTGTGAAAGGGAGCCAGGACAATCCAGGCTTTGCAGATCCTCCTCAGCAGTTACTTAACTTTGTTCTTGAAAATGGCATATCTGATTTTATAATATATCCAGGTAAGAGCAACAGCCTTTAGTCCACATAAATAGGCATAAAGTACAGAAAAATCAATGCTGCCAACAAAGTACTAAGTTCAGTTACTGATAGCTATGATATGTTAAAAGCTATTATCTGTTTCTTGCCAGTGTTTACTTCTTCCATGGAAACATTCATATCCCCAGATTTTCCAGTTAGTTCATTTGGTAAGTAGAAAATTTATTTTTATACGTGTACAGCACTTTTAATGGAGAGGGGCACCATATTTCTTCTACTCAAAGCCAATTCTCCTCTCCAGGCTCTACTCATATTGATCTTATTGAGGAAACTAAAAATTGATGGCATTACCTTTTCTGTATTGATCATTGTCTGCTTAATCTAATCCAAAATAAAGTGCAGATAAGGGGCTGTAGAGCTACAGGTTCAGCTGTATTTTAGCAGCCTCTGTGTTTGCTGTGAGACTCCAGTTTCTGGAATAAGTCTTGTCTGGTTCAGACAATGCAAAGCCCACTGTGCTTGAGCCCCCATCAGAAAGTGGAAGTTGTTCTGGTCCTGGCATGGCCTGAGCATCTTAAATGCTCGGTGCTGGAAGCCAGACTGCACCCAGCTCACATGGAAGCCCCAAAACCCAGACTGTGAGGGCTTATTTAACTGAACAGTACAGAAGCCTAATGTACAGAAAGGCTTATAAAGAAGTCAGAGCCTTGGTCAGGATATAACAGTCCCACCTGTGGCATCAAACTTTCCTGAGTCACTTTTTCCAGCCCTCGGAGCGGGGTTGGAAGCCGGAGTTTGATGTGAGCGTTCAGCTGCTGGTCCCTGCAGCTGCAGCAGCCCCGTACACGGGTTCTGTTGCCCTCTGGTGGCTTCCACCGCCGCAAAAGCATAAAGCGCGGAATAACAGGCAAATATCCCTAGGTTTGGGGCAGTCTTTGTAAATTATATATACTGCCTATGTGAATACACAACGCTGATAATTCCAACTGATTTACAGCAGCACAACATATGCATGTTACAAGTCTCAGAATTCCAAATGCAGCAGAAAAATTAGCACAGAACATTCCGAGCCAGTGTCTTTTCCTTTTTGAAAAATTATTCACTCCTGACTGATTTGACCAGTTTCTCATCTAAATTGTCTCATTACAGCTTTTTTTGGTTTTCCATTCTGTTTTCTAATTTAATAAAATAAATAGTAAACCAAAACCAGACAGCTGCCTGAAAACAGGCACAACCCTTCTTTATTTAATATTTTAGGTTGATTTTTCTTCTACAAGGAGGAGAGCTATCTTTGTATTAAATGTATTCTTTCAATGAAGTAAGGACTTGCTTATTAGAAGTCTGTGGTTCTTCCCTGCTAGAAACAACTCTGAACTCAAACCATTCCAAAGGTTGCTGGCATGCGGGGTAGGAATTAATTTTCAGATCTCTGAAACTCTAAGATTTGTATTTTTTTAAACCACATTCTACAGCAAGATGATGATATAGTATAAAATGCATTTGTTCAAACTTAAGGAGATAACCTGCTTTGATTTGGGGGATTTTTTGCAGATCTCTGCTGCATGTAGTTCCCAGACTAAGAGGTTAGGTTTGTTACAGTCTCTGTCAATTTAAATTCTGTCTTGCATTTGCAAAGCTTTGCCTACAAGAGTTTTGTCAAAATTGATAGTCTGTCATTACCTGTAGAAAATATTCTCTCTCTGGAAAAACTCCCAATTTCTTTGTGTAAAGCAGACACTGCTCATCTGACCCATGTGCAAAAGTTTGAAAGCAAACAGGCAAAAAGAAAGAAATTAGGACAGCAACAGGACTTTGTCAGTAAAAGTAACGGGTAAATTCTGTTACCAGCAGTCACTTTGCTGTGACTTTCATCTTTAGTGCTTGGTTACAAGGTGTAGAATAACAAAAGGAAGCAATTGCTTTTGAAGACATAGAGAAGCACTATGTGTGAATGTGAATTTATTCAAAACACTGACATTTAAAAGAACACTAGATGTCACCTTGCAAGGATAGATCTGCTTCATGCCACCGTCAGAACAGCTGTCAGCTTGTTTGGTGCCACACTGTCTGCAACTGCACGTCAGCTGAATCCTACCTGTGTGAGGACTTCTTCCCTTTTCCTTGTGAAGTAAACAAAATATCTCTTCCTCTGGATATATGTTGCAATGAACTTGAAAATTTGTGTCAGTCTTATTGGTAAAATTAGTAAGACTGACTCAATTACAATCTCGGTGTCTTCTTCAAGTGTATGGTTTTGTTTCTCCAGATGTAGAAAGGTTTGAAGAAGTTCAAGATTCCATGATTCCTTCTGAAGACGATTTCAAAACACGAGGTGAGTTTAGAACTCTTGAACTTAAACCTTCCAGTATTTCTTGGAAAGAGACTCTGTGCCTCTTTTCATACAGAAAAGCCACTTGTTGTAGGAATCGTCATTCAACAATTTGTGGAGCTGTTCTGAGGGTCTGGGCATGATTCCTGTTTTCATGATGTTAGACTTGACTACTTTAGATATCTAGATAGCTTTAGATAGCTGTAGTACCTGCTTAGCTGGTTTTATCATCTCTGTAGATAACTCCAAAATTATTCAGCTTGTAGATTTAAAAATGTCTGTTGTGCCTGCACTTCTAACCTGCGGCTGCACAGGATAAATCCAGACCTATGTGCTTTATGGGAATGGACCATGGAGTGATGTTGTAATTTGTGGACTGGTGTCTTCAGTTTGTGTGTGCTTTTTTATTTCTCTAGAGCTGGTGGAAACTTTCTGCACTTCACTTAAGGATTATTTCCGAGACACGTGCAAGTTTGTGACCCTGGAGCGTGAGGTAGCACTGGATCACCTGTTTATTGATGGGACACTTGTTCAAAGCCTAACTGAAACCAGGACTGGGAGGAATAGTGCAAAAACAATGGAAAACCAGCTGGTGACTTGCAGTCTGCACGAGAAGGAAAAGATAGCCATCGATAGAAGCCAAATATTTCAAATCCCAAAACGTAAAGGCTTAGAGACTAAAGTGATTTTGGTGCTGGGAAAAGCAGGAATGGGCAAAAGCATTCTTGCTCAGAAGATCTGCCAGGACTGGTCCAATGGAGAGTTTTCTGAGTTTGAATTTGTATTTTGGTTTGACTGTGAGCAAATAAGCTTGCCTGAGAAGCGATACAGCCTGAAGGAACTGCTTCTTGAATTTTTTGTAAAACCTCAGGAGGGAAGCAAAGAGATATTCGAGTACATATTGCAAAATCCTGCTAAAGTCCTTCTGGTTTTTGATGGCTTTAAAGGATTGCATGACCATGAGAATTCTCCTCGTTGCTCAGCCAGCGAGCCGGAAAAAGATTTGTACAGTATAAAGGAGCTGCTTTCAGGACTCATCCAAAGAAAGATACTCAATGGTTGTACCTTATTACTTACAGCAAGACCAAAAGACAGGGTGTACTACTATGTGTCCAAAGTGGATAAGACTATTGAAATAGTAGGATTTTCCCCTGAGCAGAGAGAACTGTACATAAACAAATACTTTGAAGGATTACCCCACTGTGACAGTGCACTGAAATTAGTCAAAGACCATGAGTACTTGTTCAGTCATTGTTACAGCCCTGGCATGTGCAGATTTGTTTGTTTTCTTTGTGATACAGTGCTTGAAATGGGAGAGGAGAGCCTTCCTTCAACTCTTTCTGCAGTCTTCCTGAAATTTTTTCAGCAGAAGATAATACCTGTGCAAACAGATGTTACAACCACACAAAATCAAGAGAATCTTATTACCCTAGCCCATATAGCCTGGTGTCTTGGAGAAAAGCACCAAAGTGCCATGAAAAGTGATCTTTTTCCTTCTAAAGAAGTTAAAGAGTTTGCTCTGAAATATGGATTTTTCCTTCCATTTGCATTCCCCAGACATTCAGATAGTGAAGAAGAGGAATTTGGGAGCACATTCTCTGATTTTGTCATTCAGAACTTCTTGTGTGCACTTCACCTTTCATTAGCAGAAGAGCTCAAGGATAAAAGTGTAATAAAGTACCTGTCTTTTCCATCCAAAAGGAAAAAACCCTATCACTGGCTAGATTTAGTGCCTCGATTTTTGACTGGATTGTTGTTTCTCCAGGATGACCCTTACTTCTGCTCCCTTTCGAATCAGGATGAAATACAACCAGTGAAGAAGCAGAATAAACTCTTGAAATACATTAGAAGGCTGCAGATTAATGATCTCTGTCCAGAGAGGCTGCTGGAGCTCTTACGCTGTGTTTATGAAACCCAAAGCAGTTACCTCCTGCAGCACGTGGCCCTAAGGCTCAAGCCAGACTTGTCTTTTCTGAACATAGCCCTTACCCCACCTGATGTCCACGTACTGCACTCTATTTTAAAAAGGTCGAGAAAGGAGTTTTCCTTGGATTTGAGAAACAGCAGCATTGACATGCAAGGGCTCAAAGACTTGGTGAGCCTCAAGAACGTGGCGTCCTTCAGGTTGGTCACTGTCCGTACGTAGTTCGTAGCACTGTCTCTAGATGACACCCTCATGCAACAACAGCTGTCACATCTGTTGGTTTTGCGTGTTTTGTCACCTCACAGGGCCTCCCTCAATGACACTGTCAGGCTTTGGAAATCTTTAGAACAGTCAAAAGACTACGAGCTGCTGAAAGCATCAGCAGAGAAATTTGTTCTTGATCCCTTTAAGGCAAAGACGATGAAGGACATCAGTGACCTCTCCGACCTTGTAGAGATACAAGAGAAGATGGTGAATTGGTAGGCTCGGTTATGATCAGAAATCCTGTTGTGCTGGCAACTTCAGAAAATGGGGTTTCACTGACAACAGAGTTCTCTGAACAACAGTTGCTGGAAAACAGAGTTCTCTGCTTCTCCAAAGGAGGAGTAACTCAGGCAGTGCAAGCTCTTGTATCACACCAGGGTGTTCTTCTACCCTGCTGTGAGGTGGCTGTCATGGCAGGGAGGAGCAATGACAGCAACATTCATCAAAACTGCCAATAAAAAGGCCAGCTGTCATTCTTTCTTCAGATTTCTTTTTAATCTCCAAGTGGGCCATCTTTCAATTGCTTTCAGTTGCATAACTTGGGCTGATTCTTTCCCCCTGTAGCCCCTGGGCCATAAATGAAAGCCTGTTTTGCACTAGTCACATGTGGTCTGAGTCAGTCTTTTTAGCCCAGGAGATGAAAGCTTGGGTCTATAAACCCTGTGTTTCATCCCTACTCATACTGGGGCTAGGGGACTGGTTGCATTTAAAAGCACACAGAAATAAAGGTTTTGGTTTGTTTCTTAAATGATGACTTCCATTTTAAGATGTGCAGAGTATTTTGATTAAAATATACACACAATAATTTCATGTCTGAGAGAAAATAGTTGATACAGAAAAACATATTTTTAAGTTTTATTGGAAAAAGAGCAAACAACTGCACTATGAAAGGCAATTATCAGATTGAAATTACTCAGTTGGAGAAAGGTTGGAGCACAAGTTATTCTGAAGTTTCCTGGTTCCTCAGCTAATGCAGCAATGGTTAATTTCCTGTTAAAATTTACTAACAAATTATTTTAGAGCACTGTTTTTGTTGCTGAAATATTTATCATACTCTTGGTCTACTGTGATTTATTTAGTGAGCAAGATGCATCTGATTCCACCAGCTATGAAATTCCTGCCATCAAAAACCTCAGAAAACTCGAATTTGCGTAAGTGTTGTACTTCTCTGCTGATTGATATGATTACATTGAAGAAGGACAAGCCATGGATATTGGCTGCAGTCCTTGTACTGATGTATAGTTAGTTTATGGTAAAGCATTAAGAAAACTTATTTTGCTTTTCTTAACAAGATTTATTAAATTATGGCCAAAACTCAGAAAGCATCATTTCTGGCTCCTGCAGTGATACAGATCAACAAGGTTCTACCAATTTTGTTTGATTTTTACTACAAGTTAGCTCCTTACCAACAGGTGTAGATCTTGTGCCACAGGGCATAAAATGTCTTGATCGTGATCCAGCTACCTGGATTTTCCCCCAGAAATGCTCAACTTTTCTATCTAGGTCTCCTAATGTAATTTGCTACCCTAATAGAGCTTGGGCCATGAGAGAATTATGTCAGAGAATGCCTCCCAAATAAATTATTTAGCACCCTTTTCCTAGAAGAAGGAAGGTTGACTTGGAAACACTTACTTTGAAAATGAGTGTTCAGTAACATTTCTTTTTTCCCCACAAACTTCAAGCAGCCTCCAAAGCTGTTCTATTGCTTAAAATATCCTGCCATAGGCTGTGAATTGGTTTGGGCAGAAATTGCAGCAATGCAATGGAGAACTCTCAGCAGGTCTTCATCTGTTTCCTGCTCTTCAGATCTAACCCAACCCAGCACTGCTATGCTTGGCCTCACTTCTGATTTTACGCTGCTTTCTCTTCTCCTTTCCCTCTTCTTATTTACTTCTATTTAAATTTTGTTTAAAATTCTAATCCTTTTAAACTTGTTCTGATACCAAAGAAACTCTAAATCAGAGGTTAGGATCTGAGGGACAAATGTTGTGAGCATGGATATCCAAGTGCAATTTATGCTTTAAGATGCAGTAAAAGGTTGATTTTTAGTTAGTCTGAATTGCCAACAGTTGAGGCAAAAAGTATTTTTTTTAATCTCAGTTATCAAGATTATACTTAAAATTAAAAACCTGGGAAAGATAAAGAACAGAAATACAGAAATCTAAAAAAAGTGAGATGAATTTTGCAAAGAGGAACAAAAAAAGTGGCAAATGCATGTACCACTGATTCTGTGGTTTCTAAGGGCCTTAGCCTTGTGTGTGCTCCTCATGTGGAGGCTTCACAGCAGAATTCCTTGCTGCAGGTGGTAGGGAATAATTGCTTCTGAGGAGTGTAAACAGCATTGGGGGCTGCAGGGAGAAAAACTTAAAGATTCTTAAACTTTGCTGTTTGTGAGTATGTGAAAATACTGCTGCATATCTGTATTTTCTTCCAGGCTGGGTCCGGTGTGTGGCCCTCAGGGATTGCTAAAACTCGTGAAAATTCTTGCAGCATTTCCATCACTTCAGCATTTAGAGTGAGTTCTGCTAAAGATCAACTTTGCCACCCTTGCTCCTCAGCAGCCCTTGATGATGGGGGAGCTCTTGCACCCGAGAAACATTTTCTGTGCCAACAAGACTCCCTGCTTTGATGAACAAAATGAACAGCAGAAACATCCTGAGACTATAACAGCAGATGAAAAGCTCTTCAGCCTCCCCTGGGACACTCGGTGGTGGTTCATTCAGTGCCCTCAGTCACTTCCCTGGGTGTTCCTCAGCTTGTGGGAAAGGTTTAGCCCAGACCCACTGGGTGGTCCCCCTTTCCTGCCACAGCACTGCCCGAGGGTCACTTATTTCTTCCTTGAAGCTCCAGAATATGCCCATGTCCATGAAAAACCAACTGTGTCTTAATTTTAAGCTTCTCTACGCAAAACAATTGTACCAATAATAGCCAGTACTTTGCCACAGTGTCTGTGGGAAGATTACTGGGGTTTGAGAGGGCCTTTGGCCTCACTGGCTCAGCCCATTGGCCATTTGTCTGTACTGGATCTGGCCTTTTCATGACTTTAAGACTGAAATTAGTCCAATATATCCCAGCATTACCTGTCAGATTAGAAGGGGATTCAGTATCTAAAATTGTGACTAGATATGAGGAAAAACTCAATTTCTAATACTCCCACTCTGGAGAAGGATCTGTTTAGGCAGGGATTTAGAGCCCCTGCTGGATTTTGTCAGTTCTGTATTTCCGTGTGCACAAGAAATCTCATTTCAGCTTAGCTGGAACACAGCTATTTCATAACCATTTTAATAATCTTGCATATCAAAGGAAATGGGTCAAGCCATTCAACTAGTAAAAAAAAAATTCTTAGGCTGTAAATTTGGGCAGCAGAAAGCTGCTTATTAGAGAAGCTGTAATTTGTGTGATGCTTCATGCTGATTGAGGCTACTGCAGAGAAGGAGCTTTTCAAGATAGATAGAGTGGTCTCTGAGGTGAATAAACCACAGAAATTTAGATTAAAAGGGGAGCTAATTCTCTCTTTGTTGTCACCCAGCCTTGATGCTCTGAGCGAAAATGGCATAGGAGATGAAGGAGCCAAGAGTCTATCTGAAGTCTTTCCAACCCTGACATCCCTGGAAACATTAAAGTAAGTGCAAGGGTAACAGTTCTGGGAAATCTTGAAAAGAAATAAATTAAACTCAGATCCTCAAGGGACTGTGTGTTAACAATTATAGGCACAACTACTCCATTGGCATGGAAGACCAAATGAGTCTATGGGGATGATTAATCTGTACATTCATTAGAGAAATAGGATAATCTTATGGCAATCCCTCACTGCCCTTCAAGGGCCGTATTTTGTCTTTTTCTCCTCATTTGGTCTAAACAGACTGTCCAAATTATATTTTAAAAAATGAAAATTAATTTTCCCCGTATTGTAATAAATTAGAATAAACGTGCTCAACTAACACAGTGATCTCACTTACTGTAGTTTATCACAGAATAAAATAACAGACATGGGTGCGGAGAAACTCGCCACAGCTCTTCCTTCCTTGTCTTCCTTAAAAACACTAAGGTAAGTAGTGTATCCTGTCCAGTTGTTTTGTACAACATACCTTGCTGTCTCTGTCAGAAATTACTGAACATGGAACAAATATTAACACTGTGCAGCACCCAAACTTTTGACTTCATTCTTGCATAAAGTCTTTGGAAAGAAGAGGAGCAAAATTCTGACCCAGTGCAGACATACAGAAAGATATCTAGGGAATACAAAGTTGTGTTTTAAAATTTAACTGCAAATAAGCACAAATTGAAAGCTAAAATGGACTAAAAATATTTGAAAACCTGTGATCTAATGTATAGTCTGTTTACAATATCCATTGTTCAATTTTGACTGAACTGGTTTGGTTTTCTGCAGCTTGTACAATAACAACATCAGTGATTTTGGAGCAGAAAATCTGGCGAAAGTTCTTCCTGCAATGACATCTTTAAGAGTGCTAGAGTGAGTATATGAAACCTTTTGAAATGGCCCAGGAAAGCTTACTTCCTCGGAGACTGAAAATTCAAATGTCCCATGCTTGGCTTTAGGGGAGACAGAAACTGAGGAAGAAAACTTCAGGGAAATTTCACAGGGAAAATGTGCTTATGCAGAGTCAAAACAGTCAGTGACTAGAGAAGATTAAGGAGCAGTTCACCCTAAAAGCAAAAATATTGCTGTTAAGATGGGAGAATAGGATCGTGGGGAGTTGGAGAAGGACCTCAGGTATATGGAAAAAGGATTCCCTCAGATGAACTAGCATAGTTAAGTTCCTGTTTGACCTTTTGAGTACATTACTATGGGGTTTTTTTCTTTTTTATTTTCTTTCCCCATCTGCAGGTTAGCCTATACAGTATTTTTGATTTTGAATTGAATGTTGGATTACACCACTACATGATGTGATCTGGATTAACAAAGTTGCTTTTATTCCTCAGTGTTCAGTACAACAAAATAACCCGTGTGGGAGCCCAGCAGTTGACCAACAGCCTACGAAAATGTCCCCACATAAAGAACTTGGTGTAAGTCTCTTGAAAGGCTGTTTGCTGTACCTTCATTCTGTGAAACTGGGGTAGAAATCATGCTAAAGCTGTGTTCTGTATTTGTCAGATTTATGAGTCACAAAAAGAGATGTCACCAAAAGACAAAAGTAGCCACAGTGATGTTAAAAAGTTGTCTCTGGTTTCAGCTGCATTACTTCCCAATGGTCCCAGGCAAGTTTGTCCTCCTTAAGTACAGTTTACATTAAGCTTCCCTTTGTTAATCTTCTACCCTCCATAGACCTCAACCTAGTCTGTGCTGCAGGACTTGTGTTTGGAGGATAAACAATGAGCAACCATCACTACAGGTTAAATAGGCTGAAGTTGCCAATACACATTCAGAGTGAGTTCGATGGAAAATTAAAGAACAGTTACAGAAACAGGACTGTAGTGTGTCCTGTAACCAGAGTCAGCAAGGTTATGGAGGACTGAGATGCTTTTTTCTAAATTAAGATGCATTTTCCTTTGTTCCATAGCTTAAATACTTTTATAGCATGATAGTCAAAGGCAACTTTAAAAAACAGAACAAAAACCAAACAGCAGCAACAACAACAAAGCCACAAACATAACAAACACACCAAAAACACCATGAAGCAAATTACACTTCTTAAAGTCTCTTTCCTTTCTGAATTTGCCCTTGCAGGATGTGGAATCCCGCCATTCCCTATGGAATCCTTGAATACCTTCAGCAGCTGGACTCTAGGATCAGTGTGTAGATTCAAAGGAACCCACAAAGGTAACAGACAGCAAGATTTGTTTCTGTGGGAGCTGTTGATTCTGGGTTCCCTGGCAGCAGGCACAGGAACAGTGTCCATGGACAAGGACAGAGATGCTGCCCTAGAGTGGCACAGGTCAGGGTCACATCAGGGTTCCTTTTACCCCACTCACCTTGCATCCTCCATCTCCCTGACACCTGGACTAGCAGACTGCAAGTGCTACATTAAGAAAAATGGACTTCTCCCAGACCTCCCAGTTCAGTGACTGGCAGCTGCCTTCCTTACCTTCTCTTTTCTGTTGCGAAAAACTAAAGCTCTGTGTACTTCTCATGTTTAATAGATGAGTTCTGTGCTCTGCAGAGATTGTTTTGTGTTGATTTTCAGGAAGTCCTTTCACTTTTCCTGTGTTTAATACAAATCCTCAACAGCTGCTTGTCTCACTATGAAGCTGTACCTAGACTGTACTCAGAGCAAACCACTGGTTCCCACATTCCTTGTTCTCAGTCTCATGGTGTGGTTTAGCCACTGGCAGTCACCTCACTTCATTGATTCTGCCTGCACAGTTTCAAAGATCCCTGAAATAATTGCATTGTTAATAACTTAATAAGTTTGCCAATGATCACCAGGATCTGACTGCCTTGATGCTCCTGGACTGAAGGAGCTGCAGCTGGCATGGGAAGTTAGGGATTTGTGTAGGATTTCTGTTCCCAGCTTTCTGCATTAGTGCTGAGAAGTAATGGCAGGAAGTCTGGGTCCTGTCTCCCAACCTTGAGACATGCAGCACCTACCAGTCACTGCTGTCTGTTTACAGAGCTCATCAAATATCTGATTTTGGTCATCTTAATGGTGACTAGGCTGGTGGGTGTATATCTAATATTCTGTTTTCATCATTTCACAGGTATCATAAAGAAGAGGGGGAAGGTGTCTGTCCTCTGTGCTCTCCTATCTTCTTGCTGCTTTAGGAATCGGTGGCAGATTTTCATGTTGCAAAAAAGGCCACATTTAAGTTTCTAAGTGATGCTTAAATTAGGTGAATTATAAAGTTTGAACTTTCAAAGGTCATTTAAAATGCTGTTCAAAGACCCCATCGTATTCCTACTGAAGTGATGAAGAGTTAAGCAACATCAAGTTTCAGAGATGAAAAGAACATCTGGATACTGTGATCACCATTAAAGGAGACCAGGAACCACCAGGACATTGGCAGTGTAAAATTCCACCACGGATTCACGAAAGAGCAGATTGAAAGCTGCTGAATCTGCAACACCTGAAGCAGTGATAGATCAAATCTGATTGTTTCAAGGTGCTAGTGGTAACTGTGAATGACTTTGGTCTGATGATTTTGGACTTTCAAAGCCCAGTGTTACAGATTCCACCTGTGTGTATGGGCTGATTTGAAGCATTAGGATGAGGAGCATAAAAAAGAATGATCAGTCCTAGAAAACATGATATTGGAAGATTATCCACGAGAATCTAGAAGTGGTTCTTTTCTTGATGCTAATCATCAGTGCTGTCTTAAGGTATAGAAAGATATTTTCTATCACTTGTTTGTTACAGAATCCTTCAAAAAAACTGGGGGGAAAAAGAAAGAAGTAATAAGAAGAAAGGAATTAAAACTGAAAAACTACTCAGGATTTTTCTGACATCACAGAAATCCAAATACATACAAATACCTTCAATTTATTGCACAAAAATCCTCAAAGTGACAATCTTTGAAGGTTTTTACTTTGTCTCAGATGAGAACTGTAAATTCATATACCTGGATTAAGATTTAATTTCTTAAATGCAGCTGGCAGCATAAATGTTTACAGGCATCGATTTTCTACTTGACAGTGATCTCACTACTGTATGTGGTTTATGTGGTGCTCTGGTACAGTTATGAATAACTGGGCAAAAACAGACAAAAATACATTTCAAAGCATTATCATGTCTATGCTGCTGGTCTCAGTCATCTGTGGGCCAAATACTCATCCTGTTGCTACAGCAGCAAGCCAATTGTCTCATTTTTTTCCTTCATTTCTGCTCTGTGAACATGGAGAGAACTTAAAAATTGTACAGAGACAATTGTCAGGTCAGCACTAGAGTTCTGGCTTCCTATCAGATACAGTCTGAGACAGAACAACAAAAAGGGATAGAAAAGGCTAGGAATGTTTGATATGCCACAAATTGGGAAGTCTCTCCTTCACAGTTAGCTCAGGGTTAGCTCAGCCACTCCTTTGAAATCTCTTCTGCTAAAAAGCACTGACAATACTGACCCAAGTATCTGTGCAAACTAGAATCTCTCAACTGACCTCTCAAATTTTAAAAGTCCCCAATTTAAACAGCTCAAACCCACAATCTTTATGTTCTTTCCAGAAAGTTACACTCCTCTGCTTATGTTTCAGTGCCTGAAGGATCCTGACAGCAGGGATACAAAGTGGACAAATTAAAGAAAGAAGGGAGGAAGGTCTGTTGGTTGTTTCTGAGAGTGGGGGATCAGACATTGTACGTGAAAGAATAGAAAGGTGGGAAAACTCTGTGGAGAATATGAATGTAATTAGAATGTGGTATTTTTCTTAACTGTCTGCGTGGTTCTTCTCTCTAGCCAGAGCCATGGATAAAGGATCTCATTTATACTCCCCTTTTTTAGCAACTTGAATGGGAGGTAGTTTGAGCCAAATCTTGTGTGATGTTCCCATCAGCCTGCGGCGCCCCAGCCGTGCACATCTACGGTGAACCCTTGTCTTGGCTTCCCTTAACTAAGCTTGGGATGACAAATGCCCCTTCAGGCACATATTCTGCAGCTGCACTTTACTGTGACTGAATCTGAGAATGTGCTAAATATTAGCCAGGCAGATGAATGTTACAGGCCCCTGTCTGGACTGATAAAGTCATGTTGTATATACTGCTGTCCTCTTTCTATGAGTTAGCGAGAGATGTATTTTTATAATGTACAGATTGTAAATTGTGAGACCGTGTTTTGGTTGTCTTTACACATCTTTTTTAAAAGTATTAATAAAACTGAGTATTATGTTTTACAGTACCTCGTAGTACCTGTTGAAAATTATTTTGATTTTTCTCTTGGAAACGCTATGAAACCACTGCTGGCTTCTGTCATAACGACAAGCTCAGGGCTTCATGTTGCAGGTCAGTGGGAAGCACTGTGTGTGAGGCAGACAGGTTGGTCCTGCTGGCACTTAGCAGTTCAGTGGTCTGGAAATGGAGAAATAACTCCTTCTTAACAGGCAACGGGGTCTTGCAATGCCAAGTGACAGACTGTGTGAGTTCAGGCTCAGAAGGTGCAAAAGGGCTGACTGAGGCTGCCTGCTAACAAAAGCAAAAAGGTTTTTTCATCCTTTCTAAATCTTTGCAGTTAAAAGTTCTAAAATTAATCATGGTTCAAAGTCTGGATATTCTTGTGGCACGAAGCTCCTCCAAAATGCTTTTGTCAAATGAGTGTATTGTGTATAGAGACTGAATTCACTGGCTACCCTGAAAGAAGTTGTTCTGATCAAATCTGTGTTCTAAAAATCTTTTAGGATGAGAAAAATGCTGCTCTCTTTATGCCAATCTCTTTTTGTTGTCAAAGAAGCCTTGTTAAAATGCCAGGGATTGTGTTATGATGGAAGTCAGACCCTGTAACACTCTCCCCATCCTTTAAATGTATGAAGCTGAGCTGATCGGAGAAATCAGAAATCTTGATCTAAGATTCAGAATCTCCAAAGTGACTTACTGGGTGGAATTTGTATTGCCTTCTCTGTGCACTCTGTGGCATAAACCCACTGCAGGGAATTATTACAAAATAATAATAACAAACTGAACCATGTTCTTAAAATGACACACATGTGGCTCTGAAAAGCTAGTGAAGCCATCTCTGAAAAGTATGAATTTCTGACTATACAGGCAGCAGGAATGCCCCCTTCAGTAGCAACATTCAGCACTTCTTGTTTTAGTACCAAATGGGCACTTGAACACAAGCTTGACAAGCTTTTAGACTTGGTTATTCTTTCTATAGTTACTTAAATGGGGATTTAGTTCCCTAAATGTATCTTTATGTGTTAGAATATTGTGCCCTAAGTGTCTTCATTCCTGAATTGCCAGCCAGGGATTATATGAAACAAAGCACTTGTCAGTGTTTTAAGGGCCTAAACTGCATATGATGAAACCTATCTTGGAGAAAAGCTACTTGGCTCAATGCCAGTGTTTCCCCTCTTGAAGGAGCAGCTGAAAATTGTATTTGGGGCACAGAAATTTTGGGAACTGGGAGCTAGTTTATACTTCCTAGGGGCTAAAAAATGCCATTTGAGTGCAACACACTGGGAATATCAGGAAAAAAATTTATATGCAAGTTTCTTTGTCATTGTTTCATTGTTTCATCACCCTGTCCTTCGTGCTGACTGTCGAGAGGCTCACGATGTGTCTGGAGCGGGAAGCCTGAGCTCAGAGCAGATGGTAAACAAAGACCTCAGAGGACAGACTCATGCAGAGTGAGAAATCAGGAGAATTGCTTCCAATTCTGCTTTGTCTGAAATGGTCTTCATACATCAACTTGCCTAAACAACTACACGGTTACAAAATTCTCACTTTTCTAAAAAATAAAACCAAACCCAGTCCAATACCTGCCCTCAGTAATGTGTGGGTTCCTCCCACCACAGTTCCTGATGTTTCAGTTCAGGTCTGATTTCTTAAGCAGTTGTTCATGAGAAGGATTTCTACATGCTGGGCATCTCAGCATTCTGGAACTATGTGAGGTACCTGTAGGAAAACTAAGATTTCCTGGAAAGCATATTTAAATTATTTTCTATCCAAATAGAAAAATAACAACTCCAATATGACTGCTAATTTTTCATGGAAAAGATCAGTCTTTATTGTATTGCTTTCACATCTGTACACAGGAACATGAGCTTAAACAATCTGCCAAGTATTCTGTGTTAGATAATGAATCCATCTGACTTATATAAAATTCACTCTCTGATCTATTTCAAAACTCACAATTTAAATAAAATATCTTCCTAGCACAGTTCTTGCTGTTATACTCCCTGAACAGAACCTCCTTGCAGTCACTCCTGCATATTATCCCCTGAGAAAGCACTGCCTTTGAACTACTGGCTGGTAGAGTTTTCAATGTGTGATTGTAAAACCCTCTTAAGCTATATGTAGAGCGTGTCCACTTGCGTGACATGGTATTTATTCAAAAGTTTATCAAATCTGAGTAACATCTTGATTTCCTGTTATAATGGAACGTAGTTTATCTTATTTTTCACACAGTCCATCCCAGAATTACCCATGGAAGCCCAGCATGGTGCATGAGTCACTGCAGTTAGTGCACCCTCAAGAGGCAAAGACCTTGAAGAGAAGTCACAACTGACAAGGTCTGATGACAACTCTTCTGGTTGTTCTCTTGTCCTTATTTCCATCTCCACATTTCAGAGCACAGTTTCTTTCCAGGACTTGATCCATTATCCTGGTCAGGTGTTTAATGAATCTGTTTAAAAGAAAACACATAAATACAGAGTAACCTTCCATAGCTAAAATGAACAGAATAGTCACTGTGTATGTGAGATATAGCACCATGTCCTTGACTTATTAAAAAAAAAAAAGTTTAAAAATCAAACCCTTTTGTGACTAGGGGTAATAATTGTTTGAGCAGTAAAGGCCTGAACAACCTTTCATAGAAATTAATGTCACAGTTCCTGTTACTGTCAGAGCACACAAGTCCTTAGTGGATTTTTAAGAGAGACCTGAAGATATCAGTGTGAGGGTTATGAGAGGTAAGAGAGTAAGCTGTGAACCACAGTCCATCATGCCAACTAGTAAGGGATGTTCTCAGGACAGTACAACAGCTGTGACATACAGTGGGGTAACCTATTTTATGCCGGGTTTGATATCATCAGATCTATTCATTAAAACTGATTTTTGAACTGGCTACTCTCTCTTGACAAGATACTGTTCATTAGAGTGTTGTTATTTTTTGTGTCACTGTGTTAACCATGTATTGCCTACATTTGATGTAGCTCTAATTTTGGTCACTTTTTCTCTTAATTTAGAGTCATATTGTTCAAACCACTTTGGATCCACTGGTAAGTAGTTACAGAATTAAGTAACATTTTGGGGTAACTTCTTGGTCTTACTGGCAAGAATAAATTACTGTTATATTGCTTTATCCCAGTTCAACCAATTTGCCTTGCCTAGGTCAAAGTATCTGACTGCTATGAGATGATTTTTTTACTACCACCAGAGGTAAACACAAGAGCTGTGGATTATGACGTTGCTGGGCACTAATGACTGTATCCATTTGGTGTTGTGATCTTACAGATCACTAATTACTACAGTGCAGAATGGTGCAGCTCTGAGAGGGGATGACTGTGTGAGGATGAATCTGTGTTGAGGATGAGCTGAGGTACAGAAGGCCAAGAGCAGGTCCCCTGGCTGCCTGCAGCTCATCTGGGCTGTGTGGAGCGAGTCTCTGGAAGGACAGCTCTTCCCTCCTTCCCCTTTCTGGGTGTGAATGAAGAATGAACTATGATGATCACATGTTCTGCATGAGCTTGGACAGACAGAGGAATAGTGCCATGAACAAGGGTGTTAAAGGAAGCTGAAAGCAAACAGGCTGACACAGTACTAGGGGAAAGGTTCTTCTGTGGATTGAAAGCAGATTAAAAGATTGGAAGGAAAGAATAAGCCTTGGTAGGAAAGAACTCAGTAGCAGAGTACACCAGGGACCAATTTTTATTCATCAC